GTACACTGTCATTTTCTCATTACATTCATATAGTGATATACTCACATAAAAGGTAATGTAAACTATTTTCTGGTAATAATAGTCATATATTTGGGAAAACACTCACTTTTACAAAAGAACTAACATACAGAACAGTCGAGTCTTGGTAGAAGACTACTCTCCATTTTATTAGAAAATATAGGATTTTCTAGGAAGTATACAAACTTTACATCAAACACTTACAACATTACATCAAACATTTACAAACTTTATATCAAACACTTACAAACACTTTCTTCAAACTTATACAAAAATTTGACACTAAAATACTTATGAACTCACCAGGTTTAATGCTGATCTACTCTTTCCAAATAACTTGTATTTTCAAGTCACTAGTAGACAGGTACACTGGACCAGGTTTTTGAGAACACAGAGCGTGTTCAAGACTCGTCTTTTATTTTGATATATATATATATATATATATATATATATATATATATATATATATATGGTGTCTTAAAAATACATTCAGAACACACTTGTCTTAACTGTATTATTAATGCAATGGATGATGTTATTGCTTGTGTTTACTATTGTGCATTGTTATGATACTGAACATGATGTCCTCCGCCCCTGAATGTTTCCGTCGTTCTGGTTTGGGGTATGATAGATTGGTATCATAGCTTTGTTTATAGTGAATTAAGTATATCAACCCATAAAATATATACAGCTATAAACACATCAGGATTAAATTACTCTGACCAAGAGTGTATACTTTTAAATAATAAAATATTTAACCAAAGTACACATACATGCATTCATACTAAAATCAGTGTCATACTAGAATAGAACAAAAGTATTATTGTTGTTGGACAGCACAAGTAGGCTTAGGGACATATAATCATATATGGGAGTGATATAACCTGATCAACTATATCTTTCCGAGAAGTGATTAGCATGTGCCTAGGAATGGTTATGGTGTTGCAGCAAGTCTAAAAACTTACCAACACTACTAAAATGAAAACTTTAGAACATAACATAAACTTAAAATACTATAGGAGTATTTTGTGTTACTATAATTACTTATTTGAGAACTAAAAGGTCTTAATTAGTTGGACAATAGTTGCGGAGTGGATACGCTAAGGTTATATGTGACTAGGGTGTAATAGACTTAGACTTTGTGATCTTTGCTTTATTTCATGTTCCTTATTTGGTTGTGGATTTAGAGTTAGGGTCACTTATTCGAAGGTCTATTATGTTTTGGTTTCATATGATTGGTATGCACTACACATGTATTGAAGTAACTGGTAAGGATCATCCTATAATTATTTTAAGTAGTACGTCTGTTAACTATCTCTTTTATCCCTATTCTCGCGTGGATAACATGATTGGATTCCATCTCCCTGGCGACCCGTACCTTCCCGGCCAAGGAAATGATGGATGGATTGATGCAGATCCATAAGAGAATCATGCAATTCCTTTGGATGATGACTTCGCAGAAAACTTCCTAGAGGATTTTAACTCCGAGCCAAAAGTCAATTATCTACCCCTAGTGGCTCCAATCCCAAATCCTAACCCTCATCCGGTTTTTCAAGGCCTGGCGCCTTCATGGGTTGAGAACTTGAGTAGGTGGAGCCGTGAGCAGGGTCAACCCTTACCCTACAATGGAGACCGAAGCTTCTACAATCTGAGTGAGGGAATCTCAACAGGCAGAATTCTCCCCATCTTGGTTCGTCGAGTGGCTCGGAATAATGAGCTAGGGACGACATCCATTCAACAAACTGTGGAGCTAGATGCAGATACCAACGCCAATACGAATAGTATTTGCAATCTTGAGGTTGCTCATGGGAGAGCTCTGAAAGATAATGAGGCTTTGCAGCAAGAGCTAGCTGTAACCCTAGCTGAATTCATAGAACTCCGAGCACGCCAGATAGTGTATGAATGACACCTTCTTGATGTGGAGCGTCAACTGGCCGAATTAAGGGTTCATCCGAGCGGTGCCCGTATCTAGTAGGAGATGCTCTACTCATCCTTTCTTTTAGGTTATTGAATAACCTTCTTATATATGCTCTAAGTAGCACTTTTCCCTGTAAATTCCTGTTTATCTTAAGACCTTGAACTTTCAGTCTGTTAGGCCTTAGTATAGTCAAAACTTTCTTATTCTGGTTTGATGTAAGACCTACTCCTAGGTCATTTTCCTGAACTTGTTACATCTTTAATACCAGTAATATTGACTAACATCAATAAATCGGATCACAAAATCTCAATCGAGAGTGATTATTTCTCAAAAATCATAAGTCTATTTTATGTAGACTCTATTATGGCTACTTTCAAATCTTTTCGAAAGTTGGAACATGATATCCTCCAACCAAAGATAACCTAGTTCAAATGACACCCCTCTTGTGACAGATGACCAATCTAGGAACTTCCTTCTACACCTTACCAGGACTGCATCATAGGGATGTAGGCAGAATCATCGAGGACAGTATAACAAAACGAAAAAGTTACATTCATATAAATGATTAGGATACATCTAAAGCAAACCATAAACACTCACGAACTCATTTCCTTATCATGTAACAGAATCATGCCTCTGAAGAAATGTAACCAACCCGCGGGCAAAACACCAATGCTTCAGATGAATACAGCTACTTTTCAAGCTGCGGTCACAACTACCGTTACAACTATCATGACACACCTTAACGCTAGCAATGCTAATGGTAGTGGAATTGTTATCGGCAATCCCAATCTAGGTGATAACCAAGTACAAAAACGAGTGCCCACTCTCAACGACACTTCGAACTTCCAAATGAAGAATAAGAAACGGATGTACTAGGATAAGAAGAAGAGCAAACCACCTCAAAAGTTAGCCAAGAGACAACAATCAGCGGCAGCCTCTGCGGCCACGACATCTGTTACTCCTACTGTCATTTCTACTAGTATCCTGGTTACCCCTACCCCAGCAAGGCAGTATGTTGGAAATCTACCCAAGTGCAAAAAGTGCAGCTTCCATCACCTGGGAGTCTGTCGAATGATTCATTGCAAAAACTATAACAGGAACGGGCACACTACCTGTTTCTGCAGAGTCCCGATCTGGCACATTACTTCGACCACCAATGTTGGAATAAGTTCAATATGCCACCTTTGTGGTGAAATAGGACATTTCAAAAGGGACTGTCCAACAGAGAAGATTAGCGGGGGATCAGGATGCTTTTGACACCAGAATATGGGGAAGCATCAAAGTGTAGGGTTTTGAGCATTCTAACACTCGTAAGGTATACATGCAACCCTAGAAACCTTGGATCTATGTTTTACTATGATACATGCAAATTTGATTTTCCAAGGTTCTTCAACTATCTAACATAGCATGGGGAACTTTTAAACATAAATGCTAGAAGAAGAACATACCTTTTGTAGTTTGGATTCCTTGAGAACCTTGTGAGCCTAGCACCTCAAGTGTGATGCCTCAAATTTCTCACAGAACACTATAAATCTTGGAATAGATTTGAGAGAAGTTCACTTAACCTCAAAATCGACTACCCTCTATCTTGTAAGTATTCCGATTTTGCTAGACTATGGGTCTGTATATAGTTGTGGCACAAGTAGGGTTACACCATGTAAACCCTAATTGTCATGGATTTTCATATTCCATGATCCATGGGTTTGTAACCTCCATGGATTATCCATGGAGCACCTTATGGGTTTTATCCTAATCCATACAAACCATGGATCATTAGCCCACTATATAAGAATAGATTATTTACACAATTAACCCCATATATTTAATTAGTCTCTTTTTGATCACTTAATTAATTTCAAATTAATTTTTTGATCAATACTAATTAAATAATATTATTAATATATTAGAACTTATAATATATTAATAATCCTTAAGTGTCCTTTCTCTCATTTAGTCTATCCAAGTGTTGCAATGCCATGCAACCGAAATGGACCATGCTAACTGGGTCAAGTACATCCCATAAATAGTTATGAACTTAGACACCTAATTCAACAGTCTCCCACTTGGATAAGTCTAATAACTATATCTACAATCAGGAACCGATCAGCAATCATAGCTCTTTCAAGGTCTCGTGGAACTGAGATGATGATGATATGTCATTTAAAATAAGTGATCATATAATCCTCTGTTCAAACATAATTTTTTAATTTATAATATTTAAATATGAAAAATATTTCAAACATTTAATTTTTCGTTTAAAAGTTATAAAAACTTAAAAATATTAGTCATAAATTACAATAAAAAATGATAGATGGTAATTGATAGAGGGTAAAAAACATAAAGTGGTAAAAGAATTTTCATTTGCAAAAAAAAAAAAAATAATAAATAAATAAAAAATAAGGGAAGGTAGGATCGGATCGGATCTTAATTCTACGATCCTACCTACAAGCTTACGATCCTATCTGTGATTCTACCCCAAATACGATCATTTTATGATCCAAATCATTTTTTATACCTAGAATCGTAGAATCATATGATCCTACGATCATGATTGCGATTTTAACAACCATGAGACAAACTACATAAAGATGTCAATTTCTGTTTAAAAAATTAAATTTGTTTAGCTTTTTTATAAAATAAAATTAAATATCAAAAAAATAATCTACAACAAAAAATTACTTAATACTTGTTTTAATATCTAAAATAAATTTTGTATTTGCCTTTTTAATATGGTATTATTCTTATACATTTTTTTTTATGTCATCTTCTGCCAAATCACAAGTAATCACAATCACTACTTCAGAGAATCAATCAAGTTACAAATGGTTTACGCACGAGGAACAATTTGCAGATCAAAGAATAGTTTGTAAATCAAGAAAAAATTACCAGCTACTGATGTTAGATACAATATCAGTTATAAATTGGAATTAAAACATCATAAATCAAATATATTCCGCAAATCAATCATTCATTCACAACCGATAACAAATCTAACTGAGAAATCAGTTCAAAAAAAATCCAATATGGTAATCACAGCTTCAATTCTACAAGAAACATAAGCCTATTCATCACCTTTAGAAGATGTAACAGAAGTCTTCTTAGGAAGCAAATGAGCGTGAATGTTGGGCATCACTCCGCCATTTGCAATCGTAACAGCTCCAAGCAATCTACTCAATTCTTCATCGTTTCTCACCGCTAACTGTATGTGACGTGGCACAACTCGAGTCTTCTTGTTGTCTCTGGCAGCATTTCCGGCCAATTCCAGTACCTCAGCCGCAAGGTACTCCATGACGGCGGCGAGATACACGGGAGCACCGCCACCGATCCGGTCAGCGTACTTTCCTGTTTTGAGGAAACGAGCGATACGACCAACCGGAAACTGGAGTCCGGCCTTGCTGCTACGAGATGTCGACTTCTTGGCTACGGCGGCGGACTTAATCGACTTTCCTCTTCCGGCCATTGTTACTACAGAAAATGAAATCAGATCAACTGTTTATGTTTTGATATTTTGGCGGTGTTTCAATGGTTTTGTAGAGTTGTGTTGTTGTGAAAGTAACCAATAAGAATGTATGACGCGGATCGATGACATCGTTCGTTGATTTATGCACGTTTTAGAATGAACGGCAGATATTGCGGATCATTACATTCCGGATTACTCTTGTCTTACGTGTATATTTGCGTTATATTCATTTTGCATAATATAAAATAAAATGTTTCATTTATTCCTACTCTTTTATCACTTATTTCTACCTTTTAATTATTTTTTTAATTATTATTTTTATATGAAATCTCCAATAAAATCCTAAAATTTTGGTCCGGTTTATGTTTTAGTCCTAAATTACTTTTTGTTTACGAAAAAGTCTTAAAAACCGGTAAAAATTTGCATTTTGATCCTTTTTGACTGATTGGAATCGGTAACAAATTAATTTTGGACTATTTCATAAATTGACTCAAAATATTTGGACTTTTCTGCAAAAACAAAAAATATTATGGTTTTTCTGCAAACAAATATGGACTACCAATATAAATATTTATTGTAGATATGTTGGATTTAAAAAGAAATCATTCTACTTTAAGAAATTTTATATACAAAGTGAGAAATCATTTTATTTTAAACTATTTATACACAATTCTACCTTATATATGGGCCATCACCACCACCGTCACCTTTAAATAATTTCTTTAATATTTTTTTATATAAGTGTATTTATATGTATTATTAAAAATATTAATAATAATGAATTTAAAGATTAGTATATTTGTTTATAGTATAATAATAATAATAAAGCTTTTGTTTGCAGAAAAGCCCTAATATTTTTATTTTTTTTTGCAGAAAAATCCCAATTTTTTGGGTCATTTTGTGAAATAGTCAAAATATTTTGTGTTAGTTTATGAAATAGTTCCAAATCAATTTGTTACTGGTTCCAACCGGTCAAAAAGGGTTAAAATGCATATTTTTGCCGGTTTTTATGACTTTTTCGTAAACAAAAATTAGTTTAGGACTAAAACATAAATCGGACCAAGATTTTAGCACTTTATTGGAGATTTCCCTATTTTTATTAATCATTTTACTTTTCTTTACTAATCATTACTAACTAAATTATGATTACATAATTATTATTAATAGTTTTTTTAAGATATTATTTTTATTTCAATTCTAGCACTCTCATTTTTATTAAGTTTACTATATATATATATATATATATATATATATATATATATATATATATATATATATATATATATATATATATATATATATATGGGAAAAGTGAGGTTCTGTTTGATAGTTGCTGATTGAGAAAGACCTGACTGAGAAATATTTGTCTGAGTAAGAAATTCTGACTGGGTAAGAAACTATGTTGTTTGATTGTATATCTGACTGAATATACTAACCGATAAAAAATGATCATTTTACCTTCTGCTATATACAATGATAGATGAAGTTGCTGAAGAATTATAAAAAGATACGATATGTGAATTACACACAAATTCTTTTAAAAATCCAAATATAAAATATAAAAGGCATCATTGTTTTTATAAAGTTATATGGTATGTAATTTCAAATAGAAAAATGGAATTTTAAGTACAACAAAAGGAATAAAAATTTACATGGTATGTAGAAATACAATTGGTTTTCATTGAGCATTTAATCAAACACATGGTATGCATTTCAACAAACAATACATTAAGATGATTAAAGATATAAGATAAAAGAAATTCATGTATAATAAATCAACTAATGTGAACCTTTACGTGCATATTGAAATAAAGTCAAACAATAGTTTTTGATTGAAATTTATGAGGAATAATCAAAGCACATAGGACCTCTTATCACTTCGTCATTTACCATATCTTATAAAAAGCACATGAATTGATTTCATAATCACATAATCCAATTCGGCATGTCAATTTTGACTTTTTATTTGACTTTTGGATTTCAAGATCAGAACTTCAAGGCTTTCAATCAGGCGATGCAATAGCAAAATAAACATTCAAGAGCAAACAAACAGCAAAAATTGGAACTTTACCATTCAGATTTTGAAAAATCAAGAGCATAAATCGGACCATTCAACAGAAAATTTAAACAGCAAAAATCGGAACATTCAAGCGTACTTGATGAGACGAGGAAGGAGCTTCGATTGGTGGGTGGAAGAGGAAGAATGGAGTTGACGATGCTTGCTGGTTGGGGAGAAGAATGGAGCTGCTGGAACAGGATTCATAAGGAGGTGCTAGAAGAGATACGTTAAGGAAGGGTATTATTGGAACCTTTCTCAGTCAGCTTGTTTTTCACTTCTTTCCCATTCAATTATTCCTTTGCGAGACAGATGCACAAAAAGTGATTATCAAACACTTATACCTGACCGAGTCAGCCAAAAAGGTCTGACTCGACTCGGTCAGACGATTCTCAAACACAACCTGAGTATACCCTTAAGGGTATACAAGCTTAGGTACTCAAACACACCGTAATTCGTCGTTTTGTTTAATATATTTATTATTATGCGTTTAAACTTCAACTCCTAACTTGATTAATTTTCAAGATTTTCGAAATTTTGTTGATATCTGTCTCTTATATCACATCTTTTTGTCGGACACTTATTAGACTTTATATATTGTAGTTGAAAATGAAAATTACGTAAGAGGAAGATTTATGTGTAATTTATAATAATCTTGTAAGTAAATCAAGTTTGAAGTTAAATTATAAGAACATTGAACAATTAGAATGTATTATATGATACAAAGCAACATAGTATTGTGAGTTTGGGTACCTAAGCTTATATACCCTAAAGGGTATATTCACTTTTTCATATATATATATATATATATATATATATATATATATATATATATATATATATATATATATATATATATATAACTCATTTGTATGAGCTTACTACAAAATATATTATCCTAGATGTAATATTATTTTACTAAAATATTATTTATTTCATTTATTAAATAGATGATTTATAATACTATTTTTATAAAATATATGTAAATATTTTTTTCAAAAAAAGTTAGACACAATAATAATAAAATAATATTTTAACGCAACAAATAATAAAAAAGTTCAAATATAAAATAATATATGATGCAAAAAATAATAAAAAGGTTCAAATACATTCGCACTTAGTCTTTAATATGTATCCAATGTGTTTCAGAAGTACGAGACCAAAGTTGATTGTATAAATCAAAACGCGGTCAATACATAGTTTGACATGTAGATGCAGACATACTTCTATGGGCATTCCAATATGCTGTGGTAGGAGGTATTGGGTAATTTCCTTTCAAAAACACCGACATATAATGAATACCGTTTACAAGTATCAACGTAATGGCTCGATGGGGTTGAAACTCTTTGGGACCTCTCCAAAGAGGGAAGCATGTCGTAGATTGTTCGTGGCTTAAACAATGAACGATCAAACCAAACTTGTTAGCAATCAAGTAACCAGTCAAAGGCATATGCAACCAATGTCATCGGGAAGATGCAGGTGACTGAAACCAACATAATGACTGGTATACCTCATTGAACCCGTTAGTAAAAACTCTATGGTATGTGTAATATTAACTCTCTAACTCTTCAAGCAATTGTTTTCGAATATAAAGTCACTGGTCTTCATTATACCCCAAACAAACAGCTACCGCTCGAAATCCACAATTTCCATCACCTTCTACATCATATATATCGTCGATGTAATCATGAAATATATCTGGAATACCATTCATTTGGAATGGATAATGCCTTTGGGGTTCATCATTTAAGTCAATCCCACACGAAAAGCTATGTCATTGGGGTTCATCATTTAAGTCAATCCCACACGAAAAGCTATGTCTTTCAGGTTCTTTATTTAAATCCATCCCATTAAACTCCGATGTGGTTGAGAAGTTGCATCTACGAGGAGCATGATTTGGAGGATTGACTTTCTTTTACTGTTGTTTCTTCACACTTGGTCATCCACGTGTGTTTTTTTGAACCGTAGGTTCTCCAACATCAGTTTTATGCGGATCTTATATCTCTTCTAGCTTTCTCCTATAAAACATTTTCCCGGCTTTTGATTGTTGAAGTTTTCTTTATATTTATCCATTACATCATCGCAATTAATATCGTCGTCAAGTACAGATGTCGTATCTGAAATATCAAGCTTCCTCCAAAAGATATCTATTGAATCCAAGGGTATACTTTCACCTGTAGTGAAATATAAAATAATTATTTATCTAATATTTAAAAATCTATTTGTATGTTGGTAGTTGAACAGACTAACCTGAAATCGAGTAGAAAGAAAGCATGCAAGCACATGGTAACCCACAACTGTTACGCAGTTTGCAACCACAATTTGAGGAGTCTAACATTACATCACCCAACCTTTGAACCTCTCCTAATATTATGTCTAAAGCTTCGTTTGAAACATGACCCCGCAGCAATTGGAAACATGATAAGTTGTGGTGATTGTAGCGAACTGTCAAGCTATTTTCAAAGCTTTCGTAGATCGAAGTAAGTTGTGATTGCACGACATGATTAATCCGTTGCACAAATTTATCAAGATTAGACTTTGAAGAGTTTAAAATTTTCTTTAACTTGGAATGTTGACTCTCCTCTCTATTGGTCGTGTTGTTTCCAAAATTGAGATGTTGATCAACCCAAACAGACACAAACATTTCCTTGTACTTGTTTAACCACGTATCATCTATGTATCTCATAACACTTGTGAAGTAAAATAAATAAACAAAATAAGTACATAAACAATAATATGCAGGTTATGATTTAGAAACAAACTTACGTGGATAATTTATCAACATTGATTGTAGTCGTTTGTAGTTTTCTGTGTATGCCATCAATGTTGGAGACTCAACTAGTAATTTCCATAGTAATCTAAAAGAGTCACGGTCATCATCCAATGTGATAATCTTGCTGGAAATTTTTAAAATGTTTTGATAAATATGTCATCTACAAAGTAA